CCACCACGGAACCCTAGCGCCGGAGCAGCCGGTTGGCCAGGCCCGAGTGGGCCCGAGGCGGACGTGAGCAGGGCCAGATCAAGATGGCGGTGCAGGTGGTGCAGGCGGTGCAGGCGGTTCATCTGGAGTCGGATGCTTTCCTAGTTTGTCTCAACCACGCTCTGAGCACAGAGAAGGAGGAGGTGATGGGGCTGTGCATAGGGGAGGTAAGTCATCCAGTAAGCCCGGCCGGAACCCTGCTGAGCAGTCCCACTGTGTCCCCTGGTTGGGTGTTGCCAGCGCCCAGGGCTGCGGAGGCCACAGGCACTCCTGACTCATATCCTTGGACGTATCCTTTGGATGGTCCTGTCGCCTGGGCCCCGTTTCCTCGCGTCGCTTAAGGCTTCTTTACCCTTCCGCAAGCCACCAGCGATCCTCCTAAGCCTCGGGGAGTGGGGGGAGGGATGGAAGGCTCACTTTTTTTTGTAGTCTGTGGCTTTTCTTTAGATCTGGAGTTATAACCCCATTGACTAAAACTGCAAGTCAGATGAGAAAGACGATCTTTTATAATGAGGATATCAGTGTATCAGGAAGCAGCTGACCACGATTAGGGCCCCTAGCCTCGCCTCCACTTTTCCCTCTAGGAATCATTTTGAGGGTTCGGTTCCAAATAACCCAAGACAGGTGAGGGTTTCTAAGAATCCCAAGTTTACACTGCGTTAAATATTGCAGAGGGGTGAAAGAGGATGAGGAAATAGAGCTTACTTGTTGGCAATCCGAAGTAAGAATTCTCCAGTCTTTCATGCCGGTGTACAGGAACACATAACCTAATTTTCATATTATCTGCATCCTTGTACATCTAATACACTTAATGTGATCAATAATGTTTTCTGCTCTTTCCCACTCCAGTTGAATGATGACCCAAGGTAAGACTATATTTCTTTACTCCTATCTTTTGATCTCTTTGTCATTGTTAACTCAAAATTATCACAACTTTCGCAATGTTTTGTACAGGTTGTATTTTAAGTTACCATTATGACTGTGGAGCTCCCTCAAGAACACAGTTTCAATTCCACCCCAACCCTGAAAGTTGCTTTCCACCTTACTTTCTAGTAGGAGGATTTTCAGTTTAGATATGTATGATCCTATGTGAAAAATATGTTTGGGGGAGCCAAGATCATAAGTGAACCTGTGAAAGCTCTCTGTGGCAGATGATGTGCATATGAGGAGACATTTCCCCCTATTAATCCATTTCTCTATCTAAATTGTCAATGGCTTTCTGCCTCCCCCTGGTGGACCCTACAGTGATCTCAGAGATCCACAGCGGCTTGAATGCTTGAGGCGGTGAAAGCTTTGGTCTACCTTTATTTAAACGTCAGAGCACAGCAGTTTCTCCTTGTCAAACTCACCTCCTTAATACCCAGGATTATAGGACTTTAGCTTTGCTCATGAAAACTATGCACTCGCCACTTAAGCATATGTCTCAGAGTCCTTCTAACAGACATATGAGCACAGCTCTAGCCTCAGTTTACTTTCCCTCCTCTTCCTTTGTCTCTGCTGTTTCATTGCAAAAACTGCTATTCCTGTTACTTTGCTTTAATACCTTTTTATATTCCAAACCTCAGTTCCCTTTTTTTCTAATTTATCCCCAAAAGGAGTGACCCCAAATTTACATATACTGGAACTGATATGCGCACAGTTGCTGAAAAGGTACGTGTGCTATAGCTATAATTTTGCATGATGAAAACTTGCACTTGGGGAGGGATTTCTGTATTCTGTTTGATGATCTCAGCCAGGGTTAACCCAGTTCATGCAGACCCACGTTTGGCTGGGTGGGGTGTTCTCTCTAGGAAAAGCAGATGAAGAATCTACTCAGTAGGAATGGGACCTAATTTTCTATTTTTTCTAGCAAATTATTACTACTTGATCAGGATGAGTAACCACTGTCAGCTCTCCTCCCTGCTGTCCTCTGCGGGGTTTCTGGCCCTTCTCCCGTCTTCCTTGAGACCTTGGCTGGTTCACATCCTTGAGATCTGGTTCACATCATTGTTATCTTTTTATCCCAAGTCCCAGTATCTACTCAGGCAACCCCTCTCTGCTTACAGGCAACCTGTCTGCACTCCCGCCCTGCCTCTTCTTTCCTTTTTATTTTTTTAATATGTATTTATTTATTTGGCTGCACGGGTCTTAGTTGTGGCACGCATGATCTTCATTGCTGCGTGTGGGATCTTTAGTTGTGGCATGTGGGACCTAGTTCCCTGACCAGGATCGAACCCGGATGAGTAACCACTGTCAGCTCTCCTCCCTGCTGTCCTCTGCGGGGTTTCTGGCCCTTCTCCCGTCTTCCTTGAGACCTTGGCTGGTTCACATCCTTGAGATCTGGTTCACATCATTGTTATCTTTTTATCCCAAGTCCCAGTATCTACTCAGGCAACCCCTCTCTGCTTACAGGCAACCTGTCTGCACTCCCGCCCTGCCTCTTCTTTCCTTTTTATTTTTTTAATATGTATTTATTTATTTGGCTGCACGGGTCTTAGTTGTGGCACGCATGATCTTCATTGCTGCGTGTGGGATCTTTAGTTGTGGCATGTGGGACCTAGTTCCCTGACCAGGGATCGAACCCGGGCCCCCTGCATTGGGAGTGCGGAGTCTTAACCACTGGACCACCAGGGAAGTCCCCCTGCCCTGCCTTTTCTGGCATGCTCGAGCTTTTATGGTCGAGTATAATGCTTCTCAACCTAATTGCGGTGTAGGACTAGTTAATTTTTTCCCAACCTGTTGCAGACCAATGTTTTTGTAAAATACAATAAAAATAAATTATGTCCTCTTCTCCCACCAAGCAGACAATGGAGGTGATAAAAGCTATCAGGCAACAACTCCATCTAATTATTACCCCCATGTACAGTCTTCCCAAATCAAGGAAAGAAGTCCGCTTCCCATCCAGAGCTGCAGCTTCTTCAAAGACCTTGCTTTTCAAATATCTTGTCTCTCTTCTGAGTCTTCAACCTGTTCCTGTCATCTGGCTTTTTTCCCTTAGGATACAACTGTGCTTAAATTACTCTCATTTTCAGAAAGGGAAGAAAAATAACTTCTCAATCCTGTATCTTCCTGTAGTTAACTGCTCTTGTATCCTTCCTTTAATAGTCAGACCTCTTAAAAGAATAGGCTGCAATCATTCCTTATTTACCTTCTCCAGTGAAAGCAGCCACCCTGTAGTTTGCAGTTCTACCTCTCCAGCCACCTCCTCATTGCTCCATCAGTGGATTATTCCTTGGTGCTTATCTTACTTAATCTTTGTCCTCAGAACTCTGAACTCTCACGGGGTGTTTTATTTGTTTTGTTTTTGCTGTGTCTAGCATTCCTCCCCTCTCTCTCTCATCCTTTATGGAATCTTCCTCCTCTGCCTGTGCATCAAATATTGGGATTCTCCAAGTTTCTGCCTTCACCTCCTCCTCTTCCCAGAATGTTTTCCTGGCCAGCCTTACCTCCCCTATGGCTTTACCTGCAGCAGACATTGAGGTTAGACAGATCTGTCTTCAAATACTTTCTCTGATACTTGTGTGACTTAGGGCATGTTACTTAACATCTGTGAGCTTTGCTTTCTTTATCTGCAAAACAGGGATAATGACAGCCACCAGTTTCATAGAATTGTTGGGAGAGTTGGATCTGCGTAATGTGTGTAAAACACTCATCTGTAGAATGGGCATAACAACAGTACCAACCTCACTGGGTCATGGGGAGAGTTAATTAAATTAATACACGAAAAGCACTTTCCAAGTGCCTGACGCATGACATTGGCCATTCTGACTTGTTGTTAATGGCCAGTAGGTGATGGTTAGTATGAATTATCCCAAGCTCCAGAACTTCATACTCCACTACCTTCTGCACATCCACGTTTATCCAGACACAGGCATCTTAAACTAACGTATTCAAAACTGAACCTTTCCTCTTCCTCAAACCCTCTCCTCCAGCATTCCTCCTGCCGTAGTACTTCCCATACCTGGCTGCACCTTGGAATCACCCAGTAATCTTTACAAAATCCTGATACTGACTCAGTTGGTCTTTGGTGAGACCTGTGTGGCAGGAGTTTAAAAAGCTCCCCAGGTGATTCTAATGTGCAGCCAAGTTTGGGAACCACTGCCTGCCATTCAGAACCATTAATGTAGATTGCTTTCCCGTTTGTTTCCAATGCACCATCCCAACAATTGCTACCTTAGTTGAGGTCCTTATCACTTCCTTTATGGAATACCGCATCAGCCTCTCCACTGGTCTCCTTGCTGTGAGTCTGTCTCACCTCTAGTCTTTTCTTCTGACTACTTAGGATGTGATCTTTTGAGAACATAACTCTGCTTGGCTAACTCCTTATTCCTTGCGGTTCAGCCCAGGTGCCACCTGCCTCCTTGAAGGAACCTGTCCTGACCTGTAGGCTAGCTCCTTGAGCATATCTATTGCAGTGCATATATGTTGTCTTAGAGTTGTTTACCTGTCTGTCTTCCTGGATGTGACTACTGTATCCTGTTTATCTTTGTATACTCAGGCCCTCATGTAGTGCCTCACATACAGTACATACCTGATAAATACATGTTGTATGATTAACATACATCCCCTACAGGAGGAAATTAGTGTTACCTGCCTGTGATCCATGGAGAGCCATGCCAGGGGGCACAGACTTTCTGTAAAGGGCAAGATGGTAAATGTTTAGCTTCACGGGCCATACAGTTTCTACTGCAGTTCCTCAGCTCTGCCAGTGTAGTGCAACAGCAGCTACTGGAACATAAATGAATGAACATGGCCAGATTTGACCTGAGGGAGGCCAAGCAGGCCATAGTTTGCTGACCTTTGATCTGTACCAAGGCAGAAGAGCAAAAGGAACTGGGCTTTAGTACCTTAATTCCAAGACTGGAAAAGCGTAGGGACCAGTCTAGCCCAGCTGGAATATCTTATTTCTAGTGTGACTATGACCATTACCAGTCTGTTCCTCAAACCCTTCAGCTACCTGTGACTTTCAGGGACATCCATCAGTCCTTTGTGACTTTTATTTATGCTTGTTTCATTTTGTTTATGATCTGTTCCTGGGCTGGTCTCACCACCCTATCCTGAACTTCTTTTACGCATTCCTCTCAGGCACTGAAACTTTCTTTGAGAAAGAGAAAATTCATGCTGGGCATCAACTCCTACTAAAGTACATTACCAGTCTTAATGATGTAATTTTATTTTTCAAGAGTCCATGTCCTCATCTTGAATTCTATGTCAGTTTGTACCTGCAAATTAGATATTAAACCTCATGAGTTCAGCAACCTTATCTTCTAGTTAGTGTTGGCATGCCATATCTTTTTCCATCCTTTTATTTTTAGCCTTTCTGTGTACTAATATTTTCAAGTGTGTCTCTTATTAGCAGCATATAGTTTAAAAAATCCAATCTGATAACCTTTTTAATTGGACTGTTTAGTCCAATTACATTTAATGTAATTATCGATGTATATACCCCCCACACATGTACATATATGTGTTATAGCTGTCATATTTTTGCTTTCTATTTGACCCACTTCTCTGTTTTGTTTTTTTCTCCTTTCTTGACTTCTTTTGGACTCATCAGTATATTTTATTATTCTCCTTTGATCCTCCATTAATCAGTTATAACATTTTTTAACTCTCCTTTTAGTCGTTATCCTACATATTACAATATGCATTCTTGATTTGTTAGTCTAATACAAATTACTATTTTTACCATTTCACTGATAGTACTAGAACTTTAGAACATTTAAATTTCATTTGCATCCTCCCACCTTTTGGATTATTGTTGTCATGCATTTTAATTATTTGGATATTTTAAGCCCCACATGACATTGTTTTTTTGGGGTTTTTTGTTTTTGTTTTCTTTTTTAAAGGGCAGAGTGACTTTTTATTTATTTATTTTTGGCTGCGTTGGGCCTTACTTGTGGCACATTGAGTTCTTCATTTCGGCATGCTGGCTGTCTAGTTGTGGCGCGCGGGGTCAGTAGTTGTGGTGTGTGGGCTTAGTTGCCCTGCGGCGCGTGGGATCTTAGTTTCCCAACCAGAGATCAAACCTGCTTCCCCTGCACTGGAAGGCAGATTCTTAACCACTGGACCACCAGGGAAGTCCCCCCACATGACATTGTTATTACTGTTTTGTACAGTTAGCATTACATTTGTATTTACTCACATATTTTACCCTTTACAGTGTTCTTCATTCCTTCTTTCATATCTGGGATTTTCCTTTCTCTTTTTAGTATTTTCTGTGCTGATAATGATCTCTCAATTTTTTGCATGTGAAAATGTCTTTATTTTGCTTTCATTTTTGAGGGATGTGTTCTCATTCAAAGAACTCTTCATAGAGTTCTTGATTGGCAGATCTTTTCTTTTTGCACTCTGACATGTCACCCATTCTCTTTATGCTTTGATTGTTTCTGTTCAAAAGTCAGCTCTTTGTTTTGTTGCTCCTTGGAAGGTCAAGTGTCTTTCTGTCTGCTTTTGATTTTCCTTATTGTACACTCTGTGCCTGCCAGACACGTGTGTGTATTATAAGAAAAGTTGTATGTGAGGGTAGAATGATTCATTCTTTATAGGATTAGCAAGGAATTTAAAGTCTATGAAAGAGTTCATGAGGTGAAAAAAGGCATGAAAGGGAACCACATTTGAAGCTCAGTAGCCACACGTGCCTCATGGCTACTAAGTTGCACAGTGTAGGTCTATAGGTTACTTCAAAATCTTGTCTCAGATTTCACCCTTGTCCGGGCAACATCTGGCAATGCCATACCCACCTTTTCTCCTGAAACTCTTGAACGATTTCATTGTTCTGGTTTTGACTGCTGGCTTCCTTCTTGGCTCCTCTTATTGTACCCCATCCTATACCATGGGTATCCCCCTGGATTCACCCTGGACCTCTGCTCCCCCTCCCCACACTATTTCTTGCCTTTATTTACATCCTCTCATCTCAGTTCAGCTCATCTGAAAACACACTCATCTTCCTTCCTTCTTGATCCTTTCTAGACTTAGATCTGCCTCCTCTGTTCTACCTAGTTTCAACCCTGAAACTTCAGAGTCATCCTTGACAGTTTCCTGTCCTGTATCACCCATGGTCCATAAGCTACCAAATCTCGTGGATCCTTGCTTCTTAATGAATCTCAAGTCTGTTTCTTCCATCTCTGACATACTCTTAGTCCAGTCCTTCATGGTCAAGCTCTCTGAAATAATGTCCTTCCTTCTAGGTCATCCTGCAGATCGTGGCTTGGCATTTGAGACCTTGCATATTTTCACTCTAACCTTCTTTCTTAGCCTTACTGTCTGCCTTTCCACCTCAAGTTCTGTACTACCTAAATGAGTTGGCCAGTTTGTCTCCCAAGCATGTCATTCACATCTATTTGGCATGTACAGAAATTCTATCTATGTGTGCGTGCACGCACACGCACGCAGACACACACACACACACACACACACACACACACACGACAATCAGGAAATAGATAACACTCGTCTGCCTTTTGTGTAAAGATTTTTTTCCAATCTAAGAGACTCCTTTCCTCTGGGCTCCTGCAGCATTTATTTACTGCATTATTTTAGTGTAGTTTCATTTATGATTCTTGCTGTGCAACCACATGTTAGCATTTTGAACACTTGGATTGTCGGCACTCTGACTTGTATTCCTGCACATAGTTGGAAATCAAATGATTGTTAGTTGATCATTGCAAAAGTCCTCCCTTGATCTAAACATTAGCCTTTATATTTTTGTTTTGAAATGTATATACTGAGGTCGGATGTCTTTTATTTGAAACATTCTGTTATTCATGAGAAAAAATGCCTGTATTCTAAGATGGAAACTTTAACCTGATAATGTAATACGATGCAGTCCCGTAATTGCAGGGAGAGATGTTATTCGAGAGAGACAGAAGTAAACGTTTCTGTGGATTTTCCTTTAGGTTGACACCGTCAGAATTGTTCACATTCATTCTGTCATCATCTTGCGACGTTCTGATAAGAGGAAGGATCGAGTGGAAATTTCTCCAGAGCAGCTGTCTGCAGCCTCGACAGAGGCAGAGATATCCTTACTGGTCGATGAGAAGCTTTTATGTGCTTTGAGGCTTCCAGGTTCCTCTGTTTGCTGCTTAAGCAGATTTCACAGCTTTTCTTCCTAGTGATTCTTTCCCAGTTTTCATATTTACCCCTTAGATCCAGTTGCTTTGGTTAATCAGCATTTCTCTCCATTTCTCTTTTTGAGTGGCTTTTATTGGAAGAACTGGACATTGCTAACATTTCTGCTCTTAAATGCCAAAAGATCCCAGGGTCCAATACTGTGACAGTGAACTCTCTGGGGAGTCCCTGTCTCCTTCCTCTCCACTCCCCTCTGCCCCGTCTACCCCGTCCCCCCGCCCCCACAGTTTTTGTAATATCATTTAGCTTCTAGGCCTTTCACTATCTTGGTCTCTCTCCTTTGGAGATTCTCTTTTGAGGCTGCCTCTCAAAAAAATGCAGTGCTGAGAACTGAATGCAATATTCCATGTTAAATATAACCAAAGAGCGATCAGTTGGGACATTTGCTTCCTATGATCTGGACTCCATACCTCAACTGTGACAAATTAAATTTGCATCAGCGGTTTTAGTAATTTATCATTCTTTCAGATTAAGTTAATCTTGTAGTCAAAAAGTAACTTTTAAAAGTAGAAAACATGCATGGTACAAACTTTAAAAGGTACAAAAAAGTATACAAAGTAAGTATTTCTCTCTAGCCTCTGTGCCCCAATTCCCCCACCATCCCTCCCTGGACATAACCAGGGGTATCAGGTTTTCATGTGTCCTTACGGATGAATTCTGTGCATATGGAAACATATAAGAGTATTTTCTTTTTTAAAAAGTATTTAATACATATGGTAGCTATGACATTACCTAACAGTGTATCTAGAGATTTGTCCACATTACTATATAGAGATGTCTCATTCTTATGACTACATAATACAGCCCTGGATGGCTGTGCTGTCCTCATGCAGATGTTTAGGTTATTTGCAGTCTTTTACTGACAGTGCTGCAGCAAATAACCTTGGACATTGCATTTCACAAATGTGTGCGTGTATCTGTAGAATCAATTCCTAGATGTGAAATTGCTGGGGCAAAGGTTATATGGACTTGCGCCTGTAGCAGTTTGACCAGTTTACCCTCTAGCCATGTGCAAGAGTATCTGGTTCCCCACACCCTTCCAAACATTGTATGTTATCAGAGTTTTGCTTTTGTGCTGCGAGTCCCTGGTAAATCAAAGTTTTTGGTTGTTGCCAACCTGATTGGCAAAAAATTGTATCTTGTTTCTTGCAATTTTAATTAGCATTTTTCTTGTGAGTAAATTTGATCAGCTTTTAATTTTTAGGAGTCATTTGTATTTTTCTCTGAATTATATGGTTATTTCCTTTGCCCGTTTTTCTATTGATTTGGAAATATTTTTCTTAATAATTTATAGTTTATGTTAAGAAAGCTAGCCTTTTGTGATAAGGATAGTGATTTTTGTCAGCTTTTTCATGGTATGTGTGTTTTTCTCCAATCAAATTGTTCTTGTTGCACTTTTATATAATCAGATATATCAATGTCCTCTTATGATGTGTACCTTTTGCATCTTTCTTTAAACTCTTTAGTTTGAAATAATTATAGATTAATGGAAAGTTGCAAAAATAGTATGGGAAGGTCCCTGTACCTTTACACAGTTTCCCCCAAAGGTTACATGTTACATAACTTACGGTTCAATATGGAAACCAGGAAATTGACATTAATGTGTGTAGTTCTACGCCATTTTGTCATATGTGTAGAGATACATATATAAAAAACCACCACAGCAGTCAAGGTGCAGAACTGTTCCATTACCGTAAAGATCTGCCTCAAGCTTCCCCTGGAGAGTCACCCTCACCCTGCACACCTCAAACCATGGGAGCCATGAATCTGTTCTCTGTCTCCTCACTATAGGTTGGATTTTCCTAATTCTCTGCACACCTGGTAATTTTAGATTGGATGCCAGCACTATGATTTTCCCCTGGGGGCTGGATATCTTTGTATTCCTAGACATATTTTTTTAGCTTTGTTCTGGGATGCTGTTAGGTTACCGGGGACAGTTAGATCCTATTGATACTTGTTTGAAGATTTGCTGCATGGGACCAGAGGAGCTTTCAGTGTAGGAGTCATTTTTTCCTCACACTACTGAGGCGAGAGCCTTCTGAGCCCCCTGCCCAAGGCTGCCTGAAATTATTAGATTTGCATTCTGGCCAGTGGGGACAGCCCCCAGTCCCTGTCCTGCTTGAGTGCTGGGCAGAGTTACCTTCCATCCTTTCGGGTGGTCCTTTCCCTCGCCTTAGCTGAAGAAATGGGCTTAGGGAAGTTAAGTAACTTCTCTTGGCATTTGAAATTTTAAAAAAGTATATTTAAAAAGTTTTTGTTGTTGTTGTTGGCCGTGCCGCGCAGCATATAGGGTCTTAGTTCCCCAACCAGGGATGGAACCTGGGCCTCCTGCCGTGGAAGTGTGGAGTCCTAACCACTGAACTGCCAGGGAAGTCCCTAAAAAGTATTCTTACACTTAGCTATACAGATAGGACTATTGGGTTTCAATGTAAGTAATTCACAGGAAAATGAACCAGCACTTTACAGTGAGTAGCAACAGAAGGGGACAGCTTCTTATCTCCAACCGAGTTCTTATCTCAAGTCAGAGCCTCAGACAGTTATGGTAAATTTTTATTTCCAGAACAAAGGAGAAAATGTTCTTTTGGGGGATATTTCTAGACAAATGGGGAGACTAAACTGGGGGTCTTTGTTCATTTGGTCTCTGAAACCACCCTACTTGCTATTGTTGATACTGGCAGCCTGCCAGAGAGAAATGAAATGAATTTTTAAAATTTTGTACTTTTTCAGGAATGAGAGTAGGTTGGGCTAGAGGACAGAAGATTACTCAAGTTAATAATATGACATCCAAAGATTTAGAAGCTTCTTTTCAGATAGCACAGTGATAAGTATTTGAGTGATCAAATATTAGCTAAATTGGATTAAGAGCATATAACTATATACAATAATGGAAACCAAATGGATTCTATTTTAAAAAAAGAAATACGTTTGGCTTTCGAAGGGAAGTCTGGGAAATTCTGGGCATTGACCTTTTTTCATTCTTCTGTTGCCATTAAATTGTGATAGGTTTATTTTAAACTTCAGGTTGCTTTCTGAGCCTTTATTAGCATCACAAATTGTGTTCCCACAAGTTGAAAATACCTTGACAGACACACAGGTTGGCTGAACTAACTGGTCGCCCCATGAGAGTTGTGGGCTGGTATCATTCCCATCCCCATATAACTGTTTGGCCTTCACATGTCGGTAAGTATTATGGGATTGCAATGTTTTTTGTTCTTAGAAATGAACATCATTTTTCCTTCTCCATTACATGGGCTGTGGTTATTTTAAATCAAAATTTAAGTATCCTTAAGCAAACGTCCTTTTTTTTTTGCTGTTTTAAAAGTACTGATTTATGTCATTGATTGTTTTTAATAGAGATAAAATTTTGGCACTCCATTTTGACAGTATCCAGGAAATCAAGACTAAACCCTGACAATTGGCTGGTATCCAAAATAATGATAATAATAATAAATAAACTATAACTGAAAATTGCCGATTGTGACTATCACTGTCTAGTACACTACCGTTTGGAAGAATCAAAGGTGTGAAGGGTGAAATTTATAAAACTGATGTTTACAATCTCTGTTTGACACATATATCATCCTAGCTCTTGGGGCTGTCAACCTACCTCCTCAGCCCTCTAATCAGTATAATGTAACAAGATTGTTTTCTCTCTCTCTCTTTTTTTTTGTTTTTGTTTTTGTTTTTTTTTTGGCTGCGTTGGGTCTTCATTGCTGCGCACAGGCTTTCTCTAGTTGTGGCGAGTGGGGGCTGCTCTTCATTGCGGTGCGCAGGCTTTTCATTGTGGTGGCTTCTCTCATTGCGGAGCATGGGCTCTAGGTGCACGGGCTTCAGTAGTTGAGGCTCGTGGGCTCAGTACTTGCGGATCGTGGGTTCTAGAGCACAGGCTCAGTAGTTGTGGTGTACAGGCTTAGTTGCTCCACGGCATGTGGGCTCTTCCCAGACAAAGGCTAGAACCCGTGTCCCCTGCAGTGGCAGGCAGATTCCTAACAATTGTGCCACGAGGGAAGCCCTGTTTTCTTTCTCTTTCTCTTTACCCTTTTTCTCTAATCATGGTCACTTTTTGTCTCTATCTGACTCTTTTGAAAGAATTAGAATAACTTTACTTGCGGAAATGAATGTTTCCTCTCTAACCCGTGACTTAGAGACCTTCCCCCTCATGGCAGTGAGGAGGAAACAGAGACTCCAATGGGTTGAGTAAGTGGCAGTGCTGAGGTCTGAACCATATCTGTCTCCCAAGTCTGTAGCATTTGATACTGCAACCACTCTCTGCTTCTTGAAACACTTCCCAAATAATCATGAGGAGTGTGTGGCTCCTAAGAAACTAAGCTGAGGTTTGAGCTGAAATACTTTGTGCAAAACCAGTCAGCTAATAAGTGGCAGAGTCAGTATCTCAGCTGAGGTTTCTGTGAATCAGGGGCCTTGGCATTCATTCTCCAGTGTCTGGCTTTGTCTGGTTAAGTGGGAATGCTATTTATGAAAACAGGAAATGGAGGAGGAAGCATAGGTTTGGTGGTGGGGAAAAAGATACATAGTTGAGTTATGTCATACCCATGCAACGAACTTACCCAAATTTTACCTATAGGACGTGGCTTGCAAAAGAAAAAGGGAAGCAATTTAAAAAGCACAGCCTATTTTGTAAGTCGCATGTGACTTGGCACTGTTTTTCAGTTACTCTTACATTAACTTTCCTGTCTTTGTAAGTGCATAGTAAAAGGAGACATGCGCCTGTAGTTATGTTCCTAATTATAAGATCTACTTGATCCTTTTGTAAGAAGGGAAGCACTGCTACGGTGATGTCATGGTGAGTTAATTTATTACCAAAGTTGGTGGGTCAGATCAATCTCCCATGACAAATATAGGCTGTAGTTTTAATTAAGCAGTTTTCTATAACCAGTCATTTAAAAAAATTACATTTCCCCAAACATTCTCTTCTAGAAGTTACATGTCAATACTCCTTAGAATCATTACAAACAAATTTTTTTTGATATTACAATACATTTCTATGCCCTTCTTTAGCAAACTGACTTAGATGGAAGCTCTGTTAGGACAAGGGATAGAATAAGTGAAGGCTGAACCAAAATTTTATTGTAATGTGATGGCTATCTCAGGGCTCATATTCTAAAAATACTTGTATATATAGTCTCTCATTCTTTTAAAATCCTTTATTACGAACTGGGGTCTGTGGTTTCTGTTTCAGGAAAATTTTGAGTTGAGAGTAAATGAAAGAATATGGTGCTCAGACTGTTTTACTTTTACACCAGGAAATGGGAGGTGTGATTCTTTTGTCCCTTCAGACTGTCTGATGCTGAAAGAAAAATTGGACAGCACAGTTGCAGGAAGGTCTCTTGGATGGTCCTCATTTAGACTAAAGTGTATCTTTTGGATTTGGCATTTAGGAGGTAATTTAGAAGTAATTAAGTTACCTCAGGGAAAAATGTAAATCAGGGTAAGGGGCATAGGGTTTGTATTTTAAGTAACGTGATTAGGCCTCATGGAGAAGGTAACAGTTGAGCAAAAACCTGAAGGAAGTGAGAGTTGGCCGTGCAAATATCTTGTGGAAGAGCGCCCCAGGCAGAGAGGAATAGCCAGT